TAGCCAAACCTGTATTTAATACTGCACGAGTTAGAGGCGTCAAAAGTAGCATCTTTCCGGGAAAAAAAAGTGAGTTATGATGACTCATACTGTCGGTGCTCGTGTGTCAAAATTCGGATGCACTGTTGCTGTTCATCATTGCTATTTATGCTTCAAAATTGTACAGGTAATCCACAGTGTACATTCGGAGCCAATGCTTTTCTCAGGCTGTAGTTTGTCTTGCTAGATTACTTACTCCTCTTTATGCATGTGAATATATGCAGCATTTGGACTTAACTCTATGTATATGAGTAGGCCTGTTATGTTTTCATACTGCCTACAACCGTGACTTAATCATCCACTTAATTTTAATTGTGAATTAGGATTTACATAAATGATAATGAAATGAGAGCAGGCATAGTTTTTCATGCGATAATTTTTTTGAGATGTGAAAATTAGAATCTTTTTCTTCAGTTATATGTTCCCTGTTTCCATCTCTGTATTTTGTTAATGCTTGAACTTTTTGTAATGTTTTTAACTTTCATCTTTATGTCAAGTTGCAAGATAATTTGTCAGTTACAATTTACCTCCTTTTCCTCTGATGTACAGCATTAAAAGTATTTATTCTATTTGGGAAGTCCCTAGAAGGATTCTTATTTCTATGTTTGCCTGCTTTTTTTGCTTGCTTTCTGCTTTTTGTCTTCAGTCAGTGTCAGGCTGTGGTCTAATCCCTTGGATGAAATGGCACCTTTGGGAATTGACTGGAGTGTCAAGTATGTAATTTATTTTGCACATGAATACAGAAGCACTCCCCTCCCCTGTAAGATCCAGAAGAAAGAGGGAAGGGACAAGAAGTTCATTACCTTTGTTTCACTGTATTGGAAGGTTTCAGGCTTCTAGCTATAAGGGTCATTGCTGGTTATTGTAGAAGGCATTTACTAAAAATACAGTCAGACCACTTGAGAAATGGCATGTGGGGTTGATATTTTTAATATATTAATTCTGTTGGATTTGATGCTTTTATAGTAACTTTAGTGTCCAGTCTTCTAGCAGCACAGAAATCAAAAAGTTCATAATAAAAATCTAGAGAAATTGCTTTGATCAATTTTGGTTTTGTATTTGTATATGCATGATCTGTCAGTGAGTATCTTTGCTTTCACCTTTTATGATGCCCATAAGTTGCTAAAATATTCTTACCACATAGTACTGTATGCATATAATAAGGTGATTTTTGATGGATCCTGTTTGAAAGTTGCTTCACTACAGCTTTCTATTAAAATCTTACCTTCTGCACCTTGTTTTTAGAATGAGTAAGAACTATAGCTCACCTGAACAATTGATATGGAAAAGAATGTGGTAGAGCTCAAAGTTTGTTTATAATTTTAACAGTAGAACCAGAATTGTCCAAAATAGTAAAAACTAAACTGTAAAATAGGTGAACAGCCAGCACTTCATGTGTTGAAACACACTGCTGACTCTTGTAAACTGCTCATTGTTATGGGTTTGTTTCTCATGTCAGAGCTCTAGTGTTAGATAAACGGTTGCTTTTAATGTGGGATTACAGTGCTTTTAATGATTCAGAATTCTGATTTCTCTCTGTTTTGTTGCTAGATCAGATTTTCTTGCCAGTTCTCTCATCTTTCTGTGAATTTCTTGTTGTTATGCAGTATAACTGAAGTTTTAATCTCATCTTGTTTTTTGTTTGGTTTTTTTTAATTCAAACCTCACAAGTTTCTCTTTTTGAAAGTGTAAGACAGATGGTAGCATAAAGCATTGAGTGAGTTGGCTTTACAGAGAGTTTTGGGCAATCTGATGTGCTGCTTGCACATAAAATCTATGAAATACACATCAGAACACAGAATAAAGCACAGAGATCTCTCCTGTAGCATCCAGTGTAACATTTCCCGCTGTGTGTGCAGGGCCACGCGTAGACACAAACACAGTCCTGGGGTTGTGGAGCAAGCCCTGCAACTGTAGGGTGATAGAAGAAAAATGTCACGGGAAGGAAGAGAGAATGAGATCCCCTGGTCTGCAAGTATTCAATGGATAAAGCAGTTAATTGAATGAATGAGTACATTTCTTAGGAAAATCTGTAAGATACACTTTGAAGCAGTTGGTCACATAGCACAGAAACTAGTCTGAAACCAGTCAGTTATGTTCTTAACATGCAACTTGTAAATACTGATGTAAGCCAGATTACTATGCCAGATCTGTGAAAATTTAATGATACTGTATTTTAATGGTATCTAAAGGTTAAAACCAGATAATTTTACTTACCCCTTCTCGTCCCCCAGCTCTTCCAAATAATCAGATGCTTCAAAACCCTTATGGAATTTTGTAAAATATTGAAGCAAAGAATTGTTAGGGAAAGATTAATTGTCCTGTTTCTGGTGAGTGTGGTTAGAGATTGTTTACTTTGGAGGTTTGGATGAATTGTTTGGGGCAGTTTTTGAGGACGTAGGAAAAGTAAGCTCAAGTAATTAAGAGATTAAAAAAACCTTGTTATCCTTTATTGCTCTGTCTAGCATCAAATTTTATAAGGTCCTACCTTTTTGTTTGACTTTTTAAATCCAGTGCTTTGGAAACTGTGAAGTGGTCAAGTTAAGGACTGTAGATTTAGGGCAGTAAACTAGCTTTATAGTGTCTGATTGTATATCCCATCTTGTTTAGCCAGTGCATCATTGTAATTACCAGGCCAGTTACTCAGCTGGGGCTGATCCCACATGTGAAACTCCCAGGGCCCTTGTTTTTGCCAAGGTCACACGTGGTGTGGTCTCATTAATGCCACTGGTAATTCCTGTACACCGGTGTTACACACCAGTGTTTCTGCAGTCACGTTGGCAGTGCAGCCTGTGGCAGACCAAGTTTTACTGCTGTGATCTAGAAGTTGGAGAAGCTGGACTCTGGGAAACAAGAGCATGGCAGGCATCTGCCCTGGCCACCATCATTAGGAGGGAATTTTCTGAGTCAATTACAGACTTGGCAAAAAGCTGCAGACTGAGGTTCTGAAAATGCTTTAATTGTAGCGAGACTTTAGAATTTCTTCAAAATAAATGACATAACAAAACCTTATAAATATTCATAATCTTCAGACTTGCCTGATTTGGCATGATTAGTTGTTCTTAATAACTTGGGAACACTGATTAAATCATTGTGGGACTTTGTAGTTGGACCTTTTGTGTATGAAGTAGTATGCTGAATTCCTTATGAGTTTAAAAGTGATAAAACATGTTAACGTTTTGAGCACTTCATCTTCTTACGCAGTCTGTCTGCCTGTGCTTGCAGTCACAATTCTTTAGATCAGTATCAGGAATGTGTTGATCTCATACATTCTCTAGCTTCATGGCAAGCAAATTCACACAAGACTGATGCTTTATGGATGTTGAATAATGAGCTATTTTAATCTCTTAAGTGTCTAAAAGAGCGATTGATGAACATGTAACCTGAAAGAGTATGGATAGTCTCCTGAAGAATCCCTTTTGGTAATGTTCAACCTGAATTGATTTAACTTTCCTGCCTACAGTTCAGTCTAAAAAAAAATTATTATAACGTACAGGTGAATGGAAATGTTAAGAGAGTAGGTTGATTCTTGATTGTTTTACTGATAACATAATTCTGCTGCTGTCGTGATCAGGAGTAGGTGCAAGAGACAAAAAAGAGGGGTGCAGACCTGTGCAAGAATGCAGATTTACATGGTTGTTGCAAAGCCATGAGCTTGCAGCTGAAGAAGTTCATGGACTCCTCCAGAGTGCTCAGTTTGGTGCTGTCATCCTTGTAAGAGGTGAGAAAACTCTGGCTGGTAGTTCTGCAGCACCCGGCCTCCTGCCAAAGCACACAGCACTTCTTTCACTCCATGCACTGGCAGCTGGAGAAGTCTTCGTGTAAACCAAGATGGATTAGTAAACAGCACAGAGAACATGTTACCAGTGGTAACTCCCTTGCAGGACAGAACAGAGGTTCTCACTCAATTAAGGTTTCACTTCACTCTGGTAAATTGTAAGCAATTAGTTGCATAATAACTTGTAGCAAACGTGCATTTTAAGGCAATTGGTAGAAAGCAAGCAGCAAAACCCGCTGGGATGGTAACTTGCCTGTCATCTGGAGCAGACCTGTGTACTAGCACTTGACTTCAGTATGTGTGTACTGTCATGACAAAAAAAACCTTGAGAAGCACTTTGGAGTTTGTGCCTTGGGGGTCATATTTTTATTAGCTAGTCACATTCTTGCATTGAAGCAACCCTCAGGAGTTTCTGTTAATTGGTTTTCAAATATGGTCCTTTAATTGTTCAAACACTGGACTTAGATTTGACTACACAGGCTAATTTTTAATTAAAGTAATTTTGCTAAAATAACTCTGAGAGATTAAAATAGTGAAGCAGAATCATATATCACTTAATCCCACTCTGTAATACTCAGTTTGCAGGTGAAACCTGGCATCCCCAGAGAGCCTTGCTGCTTCCAAGGGACTGCCTGCCTGGAAATGATTACAAAAATGGAGCCTCAAAGAATAGAATATAATTTCACTAGAAGTACTGTAATTGAAATTCAGTGTTGGTTTTAACTGATACTTTCCTTGTACAAGTGAAGTAGTTTTGATGAGGAGGAAGAATATTTCCTACTCATTGAAAAGGGACACTGTTCTCAGCTCAGACGTTCCCTGTTGTTTTTTTCTTTCTACCTCTGTAATCTTTCCAGTGGAAGAATTTCCGCTGCCACAGTAATGGTTTGTGTTATTCCTGCTATTTTAGCTTTACTGGCTCTTTCTCTGTTGCTTCTGCTTTGTGAAAATAGTAAGGCAATATTTCTTTTGATGTTTTTGTTAGGCTGTTAGCTCTGCAATAAACATAGCACCTTCTTTGTGGAAGAATTGTTTTGCTGCTGACCAGCAGCATCCAGTGCTCGCTGTAATGACAGTGCAGCAAGTAGCTGTAGCACATGGACTTTAGGACAGCTTCTGAACATGGTCTTAGAAATAAAGCTACTTCTCAACAAGTACAGGACTTCTGGTTTTCTTGATTTTATTTTGCCTGTGGTTAAAAGCAGTTCTGTTGTCAAAAAGTGATTGATACAGTTCTAGGATTCTGGTGTGAAAGAATGGAATGTGGTATTTTATAACACAATTGCACTTACTTAAAAGCTGCACAGGAAAACAGTCATATGAGGGAATGTTTAGTATTGAATCTTACAGTTTACTCCTTAAAAAAATGTAATGGTACAAAAGTTCTCTCTAAAGTGAAATTTTTTCCTCTCACTTTTGTGTTATAGTAACATATCAGCAGGAGGAAGAGTACGAAAGCAGGAAGGTGTTGGTCTTGTCCTCTTGACGCATTTGCCGTTCAGGAGTATCGCGTAGTTGATCAGCCCTTGCTTTTATTCGAGTTGTCGGGTACTATGATTCACTTTGCAGGAAAAGAGTCGTAGGTAATCATGCAAACCCATTTGAAGTTAGAGAATGTTGTATTCACAGTGCCCTCTGAAATAACAGTGAAGGTGGAGGTACAAATTTCAGTCCTTGGTTTGAAGGCTTAATTACTGATGTCGTCCTTTTGAAAATTGTAGCTTTTTCCTGTACTGGAATTTCACTGCCAGGCTGGAAGTAGCCTATGAAGGAGGCAGAAGTAGGGAATCATAATAAAATGAAGTGGAGGTGTGCAGCTTCACGAGACACCAGTTGAAATCTCATAAGGTTTCATAGCTGCGTAATTTGATGAATCACATTGGAAAGATGAGTCATCTGAACAAACAGTAAAGTTCTGTGACTTAGTGATGTGGTATAAAAATAACAAGGAGATATATCAGATGATAAGGAAATTGTATAACATTTAAAAAACCCCACAACTCGAGTAGTTTATAGTATATATGTGTCTTCTGACTGGCAACTAGTATCTTATTGAGATAGAATATTCTAGCTGAAAACCAAGGTCTAGGTGTTCATTGGCAGACATGGAATCAGGAGCTTAAGGGACGTCCTTGTTCTCCTGCATACTTAGATCTGTCAATCCAACCTGTGTGCAAGTGAAAAACAATTAGGAACAGTTTAGTTACTGATTTTCATCTATGAAAATTATGTGCACTCACTTAAAAAATTCTACACAGTAGCTTAAGTTTGGTAGAGTATTTCTTAAAACTCTGAACACAGAGGCATCTTTTAATTGTTAGCATGGCTTGTATCAGTGCTGTTGATGCAGAGAAACAGAGATGTGGTACTTGGAATAATCTTTGTATTTCAATGGTATGTGCATTTTTTCAGTGCAAGAAGGCCTTATACATTCCAAGCAGGATTAGCCTAAGCATGGGGGTTAAACTAGTGGATAAATGACCAATTTAAATGAGAGTGTACACATTTAAATTTAAATTCAGCATTTCAGCTGTTTAGTGATTACATTTGATTGCACTTTTGTTTTTTATTTTCATAGTGAGAGAATGATGTTTTACTAGTTTGTGTTTGCTTCTAAAATGCATTGAACTGCACATTTTAAAAAATTACTTGATATTGTTTATAGCTTTTGCTTGGAGGCATTCAGACTCTGAATCAGTCACACTTAGAATCTTAGCATTTCGGAATTATGCCTTTAAAGAAGGGTATCTTGTAGCATGTGTTAAACTAATGGTAGAAGTTTAAATAAGTGAGACAATCTATTCCTGTTTATCGTGGCAGTTCTGCAGTCTTTGTATTTTTGTGGCACTATTGCAAAAATGTTGCTGTTTCTTGCTTGAGTGTATAAATCCAGTGGTCTGTTAGTAAAATTTTGTTTATTTGACAATCAGACAATTTTGACCATTTGACAATTACAACACTTGTAATATAATCAAAAATTCAGATACATTAAATACTTTCCTGAAGTTTTGAAAGTATACTTGAGATAGCAGTATATGCTTCATTTGATTTAATTTTTATCATAATCGAATAAGGGGTTGACATTTATTAAGTTTGGGTTGTTTCAATTAATGTGATACTTGAAGCATTCAATTAAGTGATCTACATCTTTATTGTGTTTCCTGGTCTTCAAGGTTTCTTTTTTGTTTTAGCAGCAATATCTTTCAGGATCTGAATTTTAGGCAAGTGAATTTTGCATGTAATAGAACTTCTAGCTGTTGGTATTGTCCTGTATTGTCTAACATAATATCAAAAAATTAGCAAGGCTTAAGTGAAAATAATAAGAAATTTCTTCTTTTTTCTTTAAGGTTTCAGAAGGAGTCAAGCAACAAAATGAACAATCCAGCTATTAAGAGAATAACAAATGAAATTATCAAATCACCTGAGGATAAACGAGAATATCGTGGACTGGAATTGGCAAATGGCATTAAAGCTCTTCTCATTAGTGACCCCACCACAGATAAGTCCTCAGCAGCGCTTGATGTCCACATAGGTATTCAATTCATATTGTGTTAATTATGTAATTAACAAAAATGCTTCAAGTTCTGGTATCTTGATGCAAATAAACTGAAGGGAGTGGTATGCACTCGGGAGCCTAGCCTTTTACTGTAATTTGTAGTTTATTCTTTTACACATCAAGTGCAAAATTATTGGAGCTAAATGCTCTTACTGTACTCTGTGTTTACTCAAGTGTAGCTCAGTCAGTTGAAAGACTGCTTTTAACCATTAAGTTTAATGTTATGAAAGATCTTTTGTAAGCAGAAGAGGGGTGGGTGCAAGTGCAATTATTTCAGACAGCTCCATCTGTCATGTCAGACTTTTTTTCTCATGCTAAGTTGTTGATGTGTAGAGGTGAGAAAATGCTGTAGTGCTAGAGAAGTTGGAGAGGCACTCCCTAACTTCAGTGGTGCCTATGTGTGCAAACAGAAATATGGGAACTATAAGGGGAAGGCAATTGCTTTGACTCTGGAATAATGAAAGCCTTTTCTTATATCTGAGATATGTCTCAAGCTTGTGTAGTTTTTCAGTTGATTGGAAAGTAAGATGCAGTGTGTGCATAACCAAAACACCCTCTTGCCATGTCTGTAGTTGGGAGCTCTTGCTGCTCTTTGTGTTAGGGCAGAAGTAATAGAGGGACTTCAAAAACTTCTGGCCTTTCTTGTTGCAGGGATGGCTGTCCCAGATCATTATCTAGTTCAGAGCATCCTGAATGTGGTTTTGGTTAGGTCCTGTGACAGGCTGCAGCATCCAGTTCCTGCCCATGTGCTGGGGAGATGGATCTGTTGCCCGTCCCACTACACATTGCTGCACACTTGATGGCCAGCTGCAGCATCCAGTTCCTGCCCACGTGCTGGAGGAGATGGATCTGTTGCCCGTCCCACTACACATTGCTGCACACTCTGAGGCGGGACTGCCACTCTCCAACTTTGTTTCCATTCTTCCAAATCATTGTTGTCTTTTAATCTGTTTGCCTTCACACCTACTAGGTGGTCATCCATAGCTGCTTGTGTTCTGGCAATTACAGGTTATCACTCATCCTATAAACCACAGGATAAATACCTCTTTAATTATGGTTGGCAATTGCTGCCTCTTTACACAATGCATTTATTAAGGTCAAGGTATAGATTTCAGAACAGTGTGATTTGCCAGGTCTTTACAGATTATGAGTCATGGACTTCAATTGAAAATCATCTGTATAAGGAAGTACAAGCTGATCTGGAGAGGCAATTTGAGACATTAATTGGTTCAGTTTCTAATTCTAAATTTCAAAATATATTTTGAGGATTAATTTTAGTTGACTGTAGTTGCACAAGTGTCTTCTTACAGACACAGAATTGATATATTTTCCTGAAGCAACATACTATAATACAGAGTACTTTAAAAGACTTAATGTTTTAGTATTACTTTTCATTAATGAGTACATGAAATTTTTCCTCTTGCAGGATCCTTGTCTGATCCCCCCAACATTGCTGGGCTTAGTCATTTTTGTGAGCATATGTTGTTCCTGGGAACCAAGAAATATCCAAAAGAGAATGAGTACAGCCAATTTCTAAGTGAGCATGCTGGGAGCTCAAATGCTTTCACAAGTGGTGAACATACCAACTATTACTTTGATGTGTCACATGAACATCTAGAAGGTGCACTGGACAGGTAAATGCATTTTTTAGTATTTAAATTTTTGTTATAGATGTTCTACTTGAATTTATTACTGTAAACGTTTTTTGATAGTTCTGTAATTGTGATATTAAAAAGAAAAGGTAAAAAACATCATTTGTTAAAATTGATAACCACATATATTTCAGTTTGAAAGTCTTACTCAGATTTTTTCATCTAGGAGAGTTCTTCATCAAGACAGAATTTCTGAAGTTTAAATGTTGTGTTTACACTGAATATTTTTGGAAATGCGAAGCACAGAATATGATCATGCATTTACACATTGTGCAAACACTGGGATGGTGCAATCAAATTCTGTGCTTCCCATGGGATCCTTATTGACAGCAAAACAAGGGTGAAGTCTAGAAATATTTAAGGATGCTCTCAGTAAAGGGAACTTGCTGAAATCTCAGTGTTTTGTGGGAGAGGACAGAAATTGAAAGGTGTGTAGTCAGTGAGGTAGAGTTTTCTCTTCGGCTTCTCCCTGGATGTATGACAAGACTTACTTGATTGGTGAAATTAAGAGCCTCTTGCAGTTAAAACTCAGAATAGGAGAAATTCTCACTGTGGCAATTGTGATGTAAGGCCCTTGATTCTTGTACTGCCTTATATGATGGACATGTTGTCTGCATTTATAAACAAAGAAATTGAGAAATAGGGATATCAAATCAGTTTCAAAACTGTTAAAGAATTCCTAAGTTCTGCATTAAAAAATAATGTATTCAGCTGTTTCCACGAGGAACCAAGTTTTATACTTTTCTGTTACAATTTATGTAGAGTACTCTTGACTTGAACTAAATTTTTTCTCTTTAGATTTGCCCAGTTTTTTCTGTGCCCCCTGTTTGATGAAAGTTGCAAAGACAGGGAAGTGAATGCTGTTGATTCTGAGCATGAGAAGAATTTGATGAATGATGCCTGGAGGTTGTTTCAATTGGAGAAGGCTACTGGAAACCCCAACCATCCCTTCAGTAAATTTGGAACAGGTTTGTTACAATATCATTATCCAGTGGCATTCTGTGTAACATACATAGCATTATTGTTTATATAAAATTGCTAAAGACAGACTGTAACAATTCTCTTATTTCCTCTCCATACATGTTTATTATGGTGCTTTATTGCATTTTTCACATCCTAGACCAAACAGAGCTAGACAATAGCATAGGAAAAAGAATGATCCAAGACTTGGAGTACAGTGATGAAGAAACCTTTATGATTCTGATAATTACTGCAGTGAGTGCTGTTTTCCAGTTACTGGATTTGGTTGTCATTTGGTACTGTTAAGTCTTTGTGTATAACAATGTGAACAAGTTGTGTTTAAATTGTTGTTGGCCACATGCTTTTTGTTATTTAATATTGCATTTAGACTAGATGACAGTGACTAGGTCAAATCAGAATGATCAGCAAAACACTGTGGAAATTACTGAGTAGGAATATAGAAACAAAAATCTGAACCATAGAACACAACAGTAGGAGACTGATAGACAGAATGATCTTGGACAAATCCCAATCCCACGGCTGTATTTTTTTTTTGTTCAGGTTTAGTTATTCTCAGAATGCTTAGTAACAATTT